AGTTTCAGAAGGAATGGTACCAGCTCCTCTTTGTACCTGTGGTAGAACTCAGCTGTGAATCCATCTAAGTGTCCGTGTGTCTGGGTCTCTTTCTGAGCCTTTGATTTTATTCTCCTGGAGATTTATCTGCTCTTGTTCCAATTTCACACTGTCATGATCATTACAGCCTGATTAGAAATCCTGACAATAAGAAGGGACAGTTCTTTACCTTGCTTTCCTTCAAGAATATCTTGGCTATAACTGGCTCTTTGCAATTAAACATGAACTTTAAAATCACTTTACCAGTTCCACAGATGACAATTCTCTTGGGATTTTGAGTCCAATGAATTTGAATCTATAGCCCACTTTGGGGACAGTTGACATATTTACAATACTGAATCTTCCAATCCATTAACGTGTTATATCACTTATTTATATATTCTGTAATATGTCTCCAAGTCTCATTATATTCTCCAAATACACATTATTTTCTTCATAAATGTCTTTCAGTAGATATATTCATAGGAAGTTCATATTTTTTTATATTATCAGTATTATCTTTCTTCATTTATAAATATTTGTTGCTATCATGTAGAAATTTATCTCTAATTTGTGTATGAATTTTTGAATTTGGCAACTTTGCCAAACTTTCCGTCTATTGGCGTAGCTCCACATTCATATGTCTCTTCTATGTACATAATCATATCATCAACAAATGGTGACTGTTTGGTTTTTTCTTTTCAATGCTGGTAGCTTTTATGCCCCTGTCTTCCTGTCCTGGCTAGGACTTCTAGTACAATATGGAATAGAGGTGGTGAGACCGGACATATTGTCTTATGCCCTGTTTCAAAGGATAGCTTTAAAGTTTCACTATTAAATGTGATTTTACAGTAGGTGTTTTTCACACACTCTTTATCAGGTTAAAGAAGTTTTCTTTTATAAAGAAGTTTACTATTTATTTATCAGGTTAAAGATGTTTCCTTCTATTTTCGTCACTGAAAAACAGTTTTAAATCCTGAATGTATCCTGAATTCAAATATCTTCTTCCGTCTTCACTGAGATGAACCTATGACTTTTAAATCTTTAATCCGTTAATGTAGTATGTTGTATTAATTTTTTTGAATGTTCAATCATTTAGCCTTGCATTCCTTAGATAAACAACTTGTCCATGGTGTGTTACTCTGCATATGTAGTTGGTTTTAGTTTGCTAAGATTGTGTTTGCATTTATGTTCATGAGTGAGGCTGGCCCATGATGGTCATTTCCCATGCTGTCCTTGTCAGGCTTGGGGGTAGTAGAATAATTCCTTCTTTTCTATTATCTGTGAGTGATGAGAATTTTTTTTTTTTTTGAGACAGAGTCTCACTCCATTGCCCAGGCTGGAGTGCTGTGGTGCGGTCTCGGCTCACTGCAACCTCTGCCTCCTAGGTTCAAGCAATTTGCCTGCCTCTGCCTCCTGAGTACCTGGGATTACAGGCATGTGCCACCACGTCTGGCTAATATTTTGTCTTTTTAGTA